ATAATCTTATTAAATGTTAAAAGTGTTATTGATGGAATGATCCTATGTTAATATATTGTATATCTTTTTTGCTTATTGACAGTCTTGTACTCTTGCACACATATGATCATACAGATGACAAACACTACGCTGCAATACATTATTCCATTGCCTTTTGAATCTGTTGAAATACAGCAAGCAATGTATATGGGTTATCTGAACAAGTCAGTTATTGTTCCATCATATCCCATGTGTATTCAATGGGAGGTAGATCTGGGAACCATGCTAGTCAGGGAAACTGTCAAACATTTAACAAAGCATTTTAAATAGCATGGGTTTTTATCTTGCTGGAACAACACATTGCTTGTGTGTTGTAAGAATGAGAGCAGGACATGTTGAACAATATCCCCTACATGACACTGTTCAACATTCCATCCACAAACACCAAAGGCAAATGAAACTCGTAAGTTAGGACACTGCATACCATGATACCAAATGCTGCACCTGTGTAAATACACTGTGGACGATATTGTGATGTCACTCTAAAGGGCCATATTTTCTCCAATCTGTGATTGTCCAGAACCTGATCTACAGGTATTGCAACATTCATCCAAGAACTTTTGTTTTTATCATTTCACCACAAGCAAGGTAATAAAGCCACTAAGATACTGAGTGTTAGAGAATATGATAAAAAATATACTATTAAGGAAAGGTGCCAATAAAAGAACAAGAATTAAGAAAACAGAAGATAATGATTGACATTGCATTTAAATTTTTGCAGATCAAAGTTGAAAGGGAAGCAAGAAGCTGGAAGAGAGTTCCACAAGCAAGAAGTGCAACAGAAGAAATTGTTAGCATAGGACTTACGGTTACATTTAACCATTTCAACTGTAAAATGAGACCTTGCCATCAATTTAGTCCTGCACTTAAATTCGTAATGTCTAGGCACTATAGAGGAAAGTGATATTTATTTTTGTAAAATAAATAAAAAAAAAAAAAAAAAAAAAAATGTAGCACATGGCCAAAAGTGGGGATGGGTAAAGGCTGGTCTTCATCTATATTATCTTTAAACTTAGCTGGCCACAATCACTGACCCAAATATACCACAGTATTCCTTACACCAAAATACCACATTCTTACTTACCATTTTAACTACAGCCGCATAATACTTCAGAGTCTCTATGAAGTCGTAACTAGTTCCCATATGTACAATTTGCCTGTCAGGTGTGAGGAATATAAATAACAATGGAGGAAAGTTCATCAGAACAATTAACATGAAAGTATTTATAGGAAAGGCACAGGGAAGCTACATTATGTCAATGAAAAGTAACTGAAGCCAAGATACTAGATTAGGACCAATAACATTGCAGATTCTTCTTTGGATTTCATTAATCTCTAAATAGCACCAGAACAGATGTGGCAGCAATATTTAAAGTATGGAAGAATGGTAGATTTAAAAATATGTAAGATAGAGAAATTGTTGCCAACACTAATGCATTGCACAGGAATCTCTCAGAATTTCAAATGTCTCTAACTGAACTAAAAGAGCATGGTGTTCATTTTTTTTTTTTGGCATGACACCTTTTCATTACACTGAGATTTATCACAATATGTATCACTAGCATCTCAAAGGTCAGATAGACATGGTGCACTGGTAACAAATGTTATATCACAAGATGGCTGAAGACTGAAAATTTATTCAGAACATCTATCAACCCCTAACATGCACATACTGTACCCAGACAAAAAAAAAAAAAAATCCAGATTGTCCTTCAGGGCATTTCAAGTTTATTTTTCATCAGTGCATAAGCTAATTAATGTTATCTATAAGCTTTAATACACAGAATCACTTTCTTTGGATGAAGCATTAGTGGTAGTTCATTTTGCTTGTCTTATGATTTCTTACATTTCACAAGGATTGTAAAAATATAGATTTGTTTCAAAGAGAGATCATTTAAACTGCAAATCATACATGGAAATAGTTCAGTAGTACCCCACCCCACCCCAAACTAATGTGGGCGTCATACATCAAAACAATGAATAACCAAATTGGTGCAAATGTTTTTTCAATAGGCTGGTGATCTCCCAGGTTGTACACCGTTTCCCTAAAGTCTGGACACACAGGAAATATATATATATATATTTTTTTTTTTTTTTTACTGCCACAGATTAAAATATGGTTTTATCGAAAGAACTGATTTCTTTTTCTGGGGTGTGTTAAAGAAGGTGTGCTCAATGAAAATCATACATGCAAACACACTTAATTGAACGCATCAAGAGTAAATGTGCTAAAATTGATGGCTATATAGATTTATTGCATTAAGTTCAAGTGATTCTTGCAAAGTGCATCAAACTTTGCATCACAAATGATGGAAATCATAGTGAAGATGTTACTTGTTCATATTTCAATTCAATAAAATTGGAAAAATTTTGTTTCTTGAAAATATTCATTTTTGCCTGTATTCAGACTTTAGAGACAACCTGTATAATTATTCTGAAGTCATCTCTTAATTTGATCATTATCCATATTTATTGGTCTAAAGAAAGGAAAAGAGAAAGCAGTAAAAACAAAAAGAAAAAAAACACTTCTAACACATCTGATTATTCAATTCATTATCTTTTCCAGAAACCTTCCAAACCACTTCTTTTGGTGTCATTTTAATCATTTACAATAACTTCTCCATAAATTACACATTTTATTTTGTATTCAAGTCACATTTTTACTTTGAAATAAAGCATAATATTCAAAAAATATTTTCTTCCCATAAACCAACTAAAACAAACTAATTTTACTATGACAGCTATCATAACATAACCAAAAGCAAACTTTGAATGAAATTACTTAAAACTAATACCATTGAATGATAAGACAATTTTTAGGCTACTCGAACAGCCACTTTTGAATTGTTTCTTATGTAGATGTACTGCCACTAAATGATAATTTCTGCTTGATTCTCTTGTTCAATTTTTGGTTCATTCAATTAAATATTTGATCATTTCAAGTAATCTCATAGGCCAAATTCATTTCTGTTTTTAAGATGGATTGACATTAATGAATTCATATCATCCTTTATTTGCACTGTTATTTTGTTCAAGCATGATTATTATATTTAATGTATTAATGGACATCTGAATCTCAAAAGATTTTGGCTAAATATGGAGAAAAAAAAATTGGAGCTTAACAGAAAGATAAACTGTTTCCACATTTCTCTGCTATTCTGTTGTGTGACATATGTGGTTAAGGTAAAAGAAACATTGAAATTTTATATACATGTGTAAAATCTGGTTACTCATATCAAAAGTTATTTTCTTTTTTTAAATATCTGAAATAAGCTAATTGAATAGTTTAAATATTTTCAGTTCCTTCCAGAGGATGTAAATTTATTGCTTTATTAATGTAAGGTTAAGAGGCTGTAAAGGCTGTATTGACAATTGTATAAATTGAGCCTAATGTAAAAGATTAGGAAGTAGCCAACAATGCTTTTTTATCATGCCTTGAAAATGAAGGCGTGGTCCTCTGCCAAAAAATGAACATATTGAAAATTTATATAGGTAAGTAAATGTTAGGTGAAAAAACTCCTATGCAAAAAATAAAGGCAGTGTTTTGTATTAAATGTCTTTAAAAATTAAGAATCTAGAAAAAAAAAAAATTAGTAACCAAATAGGACAGTTGCTGATCTTTTTTTATGAAAGCAATAATAAAATGACAATTGAGAAAGTCTTCATATGAGAAATGCTCACTAAAAATAATTAGACAATAAATGTATATACAGAATACAATATTTATAAACAAAATGATATATGCGTTTGATTGGAGGAGAAGCATTGATTTGAAAGCCAATTAATAAATGCCTAGTTAATACCTTCAGCAACACTGAAATATTCTCTATACTATGAGATTTCATAAGTGTGTCTCTTCTGCAAGACAATTTATTGATGGAAGTTATTCTTTTTGAACGTTTTGTTCTTTTCTTTAGAAGCAGTCAGCAATATTGATTATATTATTGCATTTCTAGATTGTTTTTCAATTTCTTCTTAGTCAAGAATACTATTTTTACTTATTACAAACCTCTTTATTTCAATGAGTAAATTCCTCCTCAGTGAATATTGATTTATATAAAGATTTCTAAGAACGTTATCAACAGATTATAGATCATGCAAGCATTTTGCCATGAAAGGGCTTATATTCGCTCATACACACATACAAAGTAATTAATTTATATGAGAAATATACTCACTTCTCCACTTAAACATAAGAAAAGCAAGCTGTTAAGGTGAACTGAAATACAATCAGGACATCATGATATTCTCATTTTTTTTTTTTAATTAATGACAAAGATTCAAGGAAAGGATAAAGAAGTCCTGCTCGTGAGGCAGATATAAACTATTAATATATCGTTTTTATTCTATAAACTACTATTTTTAACATCAATCACTTAAGTAACAAATTTTATATTTGTATTTATCATATATATATATATATATATATATATATATTATATATAATGCATCTTGTTACATTTTTGATCAAGCAGTTTTCTTCAAAATTCCAAATTTTAATGTCATAAAAAAATGCAATATTATTATTCAAATTTCTTCAATGGAGCATTGCCATAAATTTTTTTTTAGTTTTCCTTCTCATTTTATTACTTTTTATCACAACTCTGAGGTCAAAATAAAAATAACTAGAGAGTTGCAATAAAAATAAAAAGCGACTAGAATAAAACCTATTCTAATTCTATTCTAGAATAAAAGAGTATTAATGATTATAAAATGTATCATTTACTAAACTGGAATTTTATGCACATATTTTTTGGAAGATTTTTTTTTAGAGAAAATTCAATAAATACCAGTTAAGAATTTATAATTCTGTCATTAGTATTTGCATTAATTCCTGACAATACAAGAATTTATTCATAGTTCCAAGTAATTCTCTGCCTAAAACCTATGTAGAATCATCAATAGTTAGTAAAAACTTAACAGAAAAATGAAAAAGGATTAGAAATGAGAAAAGTACTTACCGAACAAGAAGGCCAGAGAATGTTTTAGTGAGTTGGCACAGGAGGTAAACAACAAACCATTCATCTTCCACATTGTCTCCAAAGTTGAATGATCCATAGAGATGTGGAGGCACAGAAACTACAAGAGGAATAAAAGACATTAAAAATGAAGAGAAAGAGCAGCAGGGAGAGCAGAAAGAGAAAAAAGGGGGGTGGATATAAAGAGCAGGGTCCATGAAAAATATGAAGTGAGACAAAGAAGGGAATAGACAAAGTGTTTGAATCATGGGTGGGGGGTATAAAGTGGAAAGTGACAAAGCTGTTAATGTAGCTGAATCATTTGAAAGCAATCAACAATGGAAAAAGAAAACAGATATTGAAGAAACAAAAAGTTCATAAATATTTTCATAATTCTTTTTTTTTTTTTTTAGATAGAAATAAATTGAAGCTAAATGACTATTACAAAATTTATAATATGGCACCTAGTGACAAAAAAGAAAATGGAAATAACTTATTGTCTTCACCTGTGTTGTTATTGCAACATTTCACGTGTAAATAATAACTCCTGATTCCAGAAATTCAGTCTGATACTCCTGCTAATCATTTTACTGAAACTTTAGTCCTAATAGAATTTATGACTAAGAATTGAAAAAAAAAAAAAAAAAAAAATGAATCACGTACATAAATCTTTAGCTTTCATACCAAACTAACCTATTCTTAATATCTAAAGGACAATCCATTTCCAAATCAGTATAGGCAATAATATCCACTAAAATTTGTCCAAATTTGTAATGGCATGTTATGGCTATAGGAATGGTTTCCCTGAGAGGGGAAAAAAAGGATACAGGTTAGATTCCTTTCAGGAGGTATATTTTTCTTTAGGACTTTTTCATCTAGACTGGTTGATATTAATTTCAACACTTGAGGAAAAAAAATGGGGGGGGGTCAAAAACACATGTACCCAATAATGTTTATTTTATTATAAACATTATTTTTATTAGGTGCACATGTTTCAGTTGACATCCCTTTTTTACGTCAAATAATAATAATACAAAAAAAATGTGAAAATAACGTCAAATAAAAAATAAATACTAAAATTTGTGTAACATTTCTCTAATTAATCATTAGTGTGTTTGCGTGTGGATGTATGCAGTTCCCCACGCCCCCATAAGTGGACAGACTGCTCTTCTATAAAAACTATGGTTATCTAAATTTTAATTTTGCAATTATGTTTTCAGTTGGAACCTGATAATTACATCATGCATGGGACAGAGTTGTGCTGCTTGTGGGAAGCAGGATTTATATTTATTATTAGTGTGTATCTTCCCATATACATCCCATAAACTGTGCCTCTTACTCTGTAACACTACCTCGAGTGGCTCTTAAGCCTTGTACAGGATGAAATTCATTGTAATAAAAAAAGAAGAGAAAGAGTAAAATTCTCAAAGCAAACTAAGTAACCAATTCAAAATATAGTCAATGCAGAAAGTTTTAAAGAGAAAAAGTTTGTAAAAACTAAATAAAATAGCAAAAACATGTATCTATTATTTCCTTTCCCCACTTTTCATCTGATTAATTTTTTTTTCTAAAAGAAAAAAAAAAGAAATCACCAATTTAACCAAAACATTTCTCACACCTTACTTGCAAGGTTATATATAAACTTAATAAAAAAAATAAAAAATAAAAAGGTTAAAATCCAAACAGTTCATGTAACTATCAAACAAATGACAAATCATTACCCAAACAAACCCTACCTTCATTCTCTGTTCTGTTTACTGACCCAATTCACATTGAATATCAGTGAAAAGGGAATGACACTAATTTGTGTTCCAAATGAAATACCTTTTATGGCTTGACATTTTCAAAGCTATACTCAGTCTATGATTAAACTAGAGGGTCAAATAGACCTTTCAAAAATGTCAAAATTGGGAGGTTTCAAAAAGTAAAAACATATCTGAAGGGATTGTAATTTTTTTTTTTTTTTTCCAATAGTAATTACAGTTTATAGAAATATTCACCATCATAAGAAAACAAATAAAAATAATCAAAGGATAATAATATTAAGAAACATAATATTTTCAGATACAAATTACAGACAGGTAAAATGCAGTCAGTTTATTATTATTTATGTCTGGTTTTGATGAGCTACTTGCTGACTGACATCACATCCTAGTGCAAAATGTTTATGGTTAACTTTCAGTTATGAGCCATACATGATACACACTTAGACGATCATGTATCTTTAGATACATGAATGACGTGGCAGATTTTTTTCCTTGCAGTAGGTTGCCATTTCTTTCTGTGGTAGATCAGTTGCTCTCCAAGTCTATAGAACCCAGTCTGTCCTGCTATCTACCCATAGCTGGGTTGAAGTCGAATTTTTTTGTAAGGGTTTTCTTCTATAAGCCATTACGCTAATCACGACATAAAGTTGTTGTAAACAAGAAAGATTTTTTTTTTATAAATAAATTTGTATTTTTATTTAGGGTATGCACCTAAATTAAATATTAAGAATTAGAATTTAGATATTAATTAAAATAGTTCTTAATTTCACTTTTAAGATGTGTATATTTCCAGATATGCAAGTCCCTGTTTTCTACAAATAAAATTATGTTTCTATCTAACAAATACACATAAAATTAGATTTTAAATAATCTCAGTTTTAAAATGTGTATATTTTCAAAACTGCAAGTCATTTTTTAAACCCAAAGTAAAAATTAATCTTTTTTAGCCACTAGTGTTCAGTGGGTGTTTGTTAGTGTTCTACCTATAAAATTCTTCTAAACAAGGATTCATTTTATTTTTACAACTATCTTTACTTTATGATTTTATTTGGCAAATAATACACTTAAGTAAGATTATATATTAAAATGATTAAAATAGTTTATAATTTGTTTTAAAATGTGTATCCAAAAAAGAACAGGTGACAGTCGAAGATTTGGAAATCTACACATTCTAAAAATGAAATTAAAAGCTTACAATTATTTTTTAATATTTAATTTTAAGTGTATTCACTAGATAAAAACAAATTTATTTAGGGGGAAAAAATAACTCATTGATTTTCCTAGTTTAGAAGAAATTTATTTGCAAAACCCCAAGAATGGCTGACTGGCGTACCAGAAAAGAATTGCTGTTTTTTTTTTTTTTTTTTTGCTTACTTCATAATTTTTAAAGGAAATCACTTCCTCGAATCAGAAGGAATGAACATCTTCCTGGTTGTAGTTTAAGTTGTCTTCTAATTCAGTGTACTATTTCAAGAATATTGATAAAGATTTGTCACTTTGATTTTGTGAAACAAAGTAACATGTAAAATACATACATACACAAATTATATTGTTAAAATTTGCTATGTTTATAGAAGACTGTTCAGTATTGGAGACAGTAAAAAATAAATCAGTAAAATGAATAAAAGCACATGGCAACTGTCAGTTTCATACTAACGCAATTTTCAGACCAAGTCTCATTATACAATGTTGATTTCTATGTTTACAGTGTGTCTCACACATATAATTTATTCCATGTTGAATAGTGGGCTAAGTCACTTACTTTTCAAAATTAGTAGTTAAAAAGTGCCATAAGACAACAGAGCTTTATTATTAGTTCACTGTCTCTCAAAAATCCTAAATTAAAAAAGTATTCCTGTGGGTGAAACCATGGTATCAGTTGGAAAACAATTGATATATATATATATATATATATATATATATACACACACACACACACATTAGAAGGGTAATTAAAAAAAATGACCTAAAGAAATTTAAATGCACTTGCTTACAAATATGTTTATTGCTATCATCATTAATATAAAATATGTAAGCAAAACTTAGAACTGAGAATGTTGAGTGATATGTATATAACCCCTTCTATGGTTTCTGCTATCAGCTAACCTAGATCCCACAAAGAATGTGGATCCAATGGTATGTCTGTAATAGCCATTAAGAAGTGTTCTCCTGAAGTGGCTCCTGTTCTCTCTAAATTGTATAATAAATACCTTGCTGCCTCCTGCTTTCTGGGAGTCACCATCTGTTATTCCATTTTTTAAGAACTTCTTGATTTGTCCTATACCCTTCCAACTATCAGCCTATTAGCCTTCTACCTCTTTTTGGAAAACTCCAAGAGGCCCTAATCAATGCCAAATTGGTTCATCATCTCTCATTACAGGGCTGTTTTTTTTTTAAACAAGCAATATGCCTTTGGTTTCACCAGGTCAACTGCTGATGTACTGACAATAAGTGTGGAAAGAGTCTATCATGCTCTAGATAAAAATGGTGAAGCCCGGGCTATAGCTTTGGACATCTCAAAAGCTTTTGACAGGATTTGGCATTCAGTTAAGGTGGTGGAAGGAATGAAAAGTTATGGTGTTGCCAAACACATTTTTGAACTGATCCAGTCTTTCCTATCAAATTGTGAAATTAAGGTTATCCTGAATGGCCACTCATCTAGATCCTTTCAATATTAATGTAAGTGTACCACAGGGCTCCATCCTTGGTTCCACTTTGTTTTTCATTTTCATTAATGACCTCCTCAATGGCATCAGCTCTCTACTTGGTATCTACACTGATGATACCTTTTACTCCTGTCTTGATAGTAAGTTCAAAATGGCAGCCAATGTCCAAAACAATCTCAAATCAGTTGTTAACTGGGGCAAAAGATGGTTTGTTAATTTTAATGCATCCAAAACTAAACTTCTCTCCAGTAATCATCTGAGAGACTTCCCTTCTCCATCCATCAGCATGGCTGATGCTAACCTCCAGTAAAGTAACTTGTTGAGCCTTTTTGGGCTAATGTTCTCAGCTAACATGAAGTGGAAAGACTAAGTCAGCTGCTAAAAAAGTTGGTTCACTGTGTTATGCGAGACAAGTTTTCTCTCCAGAATCTATCATACATAAGTCTACCATTTGGGTATGTTTACAATATTGCTGTCACATATAGTCCATAGCCATTGCTATTTACTTTGAGCCTCTTGATAAAATCCAAAGAAGAATCAGCAATATTATCAGTTCTGATCTTGCAGCTCAGCTCCAGTTGCATTCCCATTGCTGTAATGTTGCCTAATGTTCATAGTAATTGTTTTTCAATCATGAACTATTAATAATAGACTTTTTTTGAATTTAGACTTTTTTCACTTGATTGGCATTGAGATCTCTTCAATTTATGTATTGAGCTGGCTAAATGTAGCCATAAATTTTAAAAAATTTAAGTTTCTTTTCTCGCACTTCACACTTGTGGAAATCCCTTTTAGCTCCATGCTTTCCAGCCAAATTTAATCTGCAAAAATTTAAATGCAATGTCAATCGTTATCTGTCCTCCAGATTAATCTTTCCTCTTTCCACTCATTATTAATGTTTCTCTTCCTAATTCTTCCACACTCAGTAACCCCATCGTATCTTGGTGGCTTTACGGCCTTGCTAGGGATGAAACCGATTAAAAAAAAAAAAAAATTAAAATAATCTTTAAAAGTGTATGTGTATTGATTGCTTTATTTTTAAAACTTAATTTTTTTTTTTTTTTTTTTAATCTGCTTTGCTGCAGATCAGATTTAACTGTTTTTAAATTCAAAATCTACTTATTTAAATTCTCATTTGGTCATTAAACATTGTAGACTTGAAAAATATATGGGGAAAAAAATTGGTAGCATTACTACTCCATGTTGGCTTATAATTTTTTTTTTAATTTTCCGTGGGCATTTGCTGATACTGAGAGAAAACTATAGTTTTCGTACAGTTCATTTGTTAACTAATGAGAGAAATGTGCAACCATAAATTGACAGAATACACACAAATTAGCATATTTAATATCCCATTCATTTCACCTAATAATATTTTTTATGTTTATCAGATAATAAAAAAAAAAAAACAAATTTTTGAACTGGACTAAATTTAGGGAATATGGATCTCCAGTACCATTCGATGTATCCCAACATTTTTTTAAGATTCCCCTCTAAAACCAAGAGTGGCATCTTATATGTATAACAAAAAATAAATTGTATAAATCTATATGAAACTGAAAGATAAATAAATACATAAAAAATCTTTTACATTTGAAAAAAAAAAAATGTAAAAAATGAAATGAAATAAACAACTGTAGATATCAGTCGTTTTACTGATTTTTAGGTTTCGTTTTTCAAATCAATAAAAAAAATAATTTTACAAACATGTAATAATTTAAAAGTTACCAGCAGTGATGTCATGTCTGTATTAGCTTTTAGTTGCGTCAGAACAGGTATGAGTTAAAAAAAAAAAAAGAAAAAAAAAAAGAGAAGACAGCTATAACAAATTGAAAACATTTCATTGCATTTCAAGAAGAGCTGAGGAGAGTGTGTCTTTGAAAGACAACAAAAACATTTCTTTCGGATTCATAATACATTTTTGAATTAGGGAATCCCTCACCCAAACTTCTTTTATAAGATGGGCACACTGGCATTAAAAATCTTCAGCTCACTTCAGCAGGGAATATTAAGGAAAAAAAAAACGATGAACAGAAGTTTACACATCGAACGTTATTAAAACTTGTTTCCTTTGACTTTTTAAAAACAAGTTTCCAGTGTAAATTATTTACTTCGTTTCAGATTTTAAATCTTGATATTTTTTTTTCCATTTATTTATTTTAAATATTTTTTTAAAAAATAACAAGTCTGATTAAAAATATAGGCCTTTACATAATTACAGACAGACTTGTGTTTCATTGAAAAATAAAATGCCTGTATTTAATTTTTTGAATTTTTGATGTCAAAGGTATTTTTTTGTGACAAAAAAATACCTTTGACATCCAAAACTCAAAACTTGAGCACTCTTTTCAAGAAAAATCTGTAAAAAAACACACCTAATGTGAGTAATATGATAACCAAATATTAGCTTTTAGAAGAAAATCATTCTCCGCTTCTTTTTTTCTGAATTTAAAAATGTATATCTATAAAAGATCAAACCAATTTATTTTACAGTTCACTGGCTCATAGCCAAAATTAATGTCATAAAACTCATAATTATTCTTTCCGCCATCATCAATGATTCTAAATTTTTAATAGATTTTTGAACTGGCGATTTATTTATGTGTGTGTGTGTGTCTTTTCTATTATTTATCGAACGAACGGCAAATTATAATTCTGGAAACAATGGATCTGCCGTCGCAATTTTAATACTGAAAGTGCGTAAATTTAAATTTAGCAAATAATTTGTAAAATCAAGAAGTATCTTTATATTAGAATTAGATAAAAAACATAGGATTTATTTAACGTACTATGTTTTACACACTACACTACAGAATAAGAAGTTTTTATTTATATGTCTGTTATAATTTTAAAAACTATTTTTGAAAGGATTTTTCTCGGGAGATTACCAACTTAGAAATAGTTTTTTAACAGTTTTTGACAAAAAAAAATAAGAATTTAGTTCTGAAATACACCATAAAATTACTAGTTTTAACCAGGACAGTTAAATAAACAAAAAATAGTATTCTAAGCTACTAAGCATGTTTTAACGTCATTGGATTTTCCTAGGGATGTGAAACAGGGTTTTTTAGAGAGAGAGAGAGAGAGAAAAGAGTTAAATGAGTTTAAAATATTAACATGAGTGGGAAATAAAAAAAAAAAAATATATATATATATACAACTATTTTTTTTTAAACAGCTGATGCATAAAAAAGAATTTCAAACGAATTATTATTGAATGAAATTGATTTTGTTTTAAACAACAAAAGAGACCCCCTTTTTCCAGCTTCTAGAAAATGCAAATAAAGACAGCCTCCATGAATATTACTTTTTTAAACCCTTCTTCACCTTTCCAAATGACATTATTACAACAATGCAAGATTTTTTTCTTAATACGCACGTGCAAATTCACCTAACAACAGATTTAACGCCAACAAGCACCGGTTTTAAAAATATCGTACAATATACAATAAATAAACATTGCCAGAAAAAAAAAATATGGGGCAAGTTCTAATATACAGACTTTTATATTTCATTATCATCATCAATATTTTTATTTATTTTTTTAAAGTCCGACTCACTCCTACGTTTGCTAGAATAATGTATTGCACTAACAAATGACCTCATAAAGGTGTTCTTAAAAAAGAAAATGAGTAATGAATGAATTGACGGAGTAGTATCCATATTTTTTTTCGGAATTTCAATCATAATATCCTTCGCAAAAAAAAAAAAAAAAATAAAATAAGTTACTTATTTTTCACAATGAACAGAGGGATGAAGAGAGTGCTGTCTCTTGGGAAATAGGAAGTAAAGTAACATTTTATACTCATATTGGTAATGCTCAAGAAAAGACGCTTTCACATATTTATTAGTTATTGAAATTTACTAATACAACTACAATGTGCACGAACTTATACTTACCATTTCCCGGAATAGGCCTTAAATTAAATGCTTCGTTCTGCCAGATGTAATCGACTAATAAGTGGCTCAGGTGGGCAAGATAAATATCCTTCTGTTCTTCAAGATATTCAAATAATTCTTCATCATTTAAGTCTTCACAAATTAATGGATAAAGATAATATTCGAGTACATCTTCTGGAACCCGTCTTATCCCGGCCATGCTGCCTATATGACTGACTGGCCAAATTTTTATAAACTCGGAACTTCAGGCGAAGTTTATATCATGAACGCATTAAAAGAAAAGTAGAATAACAGAATAAAACTTTGAACGATACTTACGTCGATAACGACGTTTTAACGAACACAATAATTCAATTTATAGAATAAAAGAATATGAGAATAGAATCAGGTTTAGATTATATTGGGACCATTCAAAAAGATAGAGTGACTTCCCTTGATGCTTGACGTTTTTTTTGTTTTTTTTTGTTTTTTTTTTTTGGCTGCGGGAATCTGGAAGTGCGTATTTGCAATAATTCTTAACCTCAGTAAAAGAAGAAAAATAGTATATCTATCTATCTATCTATCTATTGTATGTTGAATTTAAATTGAAATTTTTATGCATTGATTTTATATGTGAATTCTCTCTCTCCCATCCTACCCTCCCTCTCTCTCTCTCCCATTCCTCCCTCGCCCTCTCTCCCCTCTCTCTCTAGTGTCGTGGCTAAAGTTAAACTCGTTGGATACTATTCCCTAAATATGGCACCCATGGTCGCAAACCGTTGTTTTGTTTGTTATTGTTTGAAAACCTCAATTTCCAAATAATGATTATTTTTTTATATATAAGCGGTCCTTCACACGCAACATAATCTTACCACATCTACCCACGCATACACATTTGTTCGTGTATCGAACTAAGCTTAGTTTACCTTTTAAACAAACTTAAAAAGTGATAACAAGCAAGAGGTACCTCAGTGTGTGCGTGTGCGCGTGCGTGTATGCGCGCGTGCATCTATTGGGCCTAACGAAACGCCCCTACTCGCAATGTCCCAGATCTTTCCGTTTTTTTTCCAAACTTGCCTCTTTTTTTCTTTTATTTATCCTTTCCCAAATGACGCTTCATAGAAAGCGCATATCAAAGAAGACTTGTATGAGTATTTGATACACCCTCAAATGCAGAGAGAGAGAGAGAGAGAGAGAGAGAGAGAGAGAGAGAGACGAGGGAGAGAGGAGAAAGAGAAAGGAAAGTGACAGATAGAGGGGAGTGAGTGTGTGTGTGTGTGTGTGTGAGAGAGAGAGAGAGAAGTGGAGAGGGAACGTAAACCGAACGCCCCCCCCCAAAAATGGAATGTATTCAACGACCTATCTGGCAATTAATTTGCACTTTACAGTTTTGCTTTTAAATTTTGATTCACTCTTTTTCTCTTTTTTTCCGTCATCTCTCTAACAAGTGAAGCAGGTGCTTAGTTTTGAATATGCTTTCTGTCTGTCTACCTGTCTGTCATTCTATCTCCCTCTCTTACACACACACACACACACACACACGCACGCACACATACAATAAAGTCACAAATAGCAACCATTAAATTGTATTTTAGGGGAAAATTGCCATGCGTAAAAAAGATGAAATTCATAAAAATGAATATTGCATAAAAAAGGGCAAAATATCTTTTTAAACTCTTCAAAATCGATAAACAGCATATTCAGAGGGCTGCACAAATAAATAAAATAAAAAATAACGTTTTAAAATATTGTTATTATTATTATTATTATTATTATTATCATTATAAATTTAAAAAAAAACTATCACATATAACACGAAAGAGTTAGTTGCGAAAGAAATAAAAATATCATGTTTTTACTGTTGTCATCATGCGCTTTATAATGATTTCCGATTGTATTTGTGCTCAGTTAACAAAAACAAGTGAAGATGGGTGGTCCCAGCCGAGATTGTAGAACTCCGTTTTAACCAGTTACTATTTTTAATTTACCATTGCAAAATATAGCGGATGTGCAGTGTGGTTTAACAATGAATAACGTCTCCAAATGAGAGCAGAGTTCAAATTGCAACTGGGTTCGATACATTTTCCGCGCAAATAGCACTGGGAAAGTTATGAATTCATGTCTTCTACTATGCGTTGAATATGAAGATATTCTGGGCCTTATAGCCTTAGTTGGCAACAGGTCTACGTGAAATCTTCTGCCTCGTCAGACATGATCGCTTTAAGCGTGTATGGGATTTAAGGTTGCATGTTGATATACCGTAGCCGTGTGCGTGTTCATAAAACAATTAAAGAAGAAGCAACAAAAAAATGGGTTTCTATTTTTTATAGCAACTATAGGGAAACAAAGTTCTCAACCTCTCTTAGGTATGCCCGTTTTTTTTCTGGTCCAGAATTAAGTTTGGGTAACCCTACACGCAAGCCACCAATCTGCCAATGGGTGGCAGGCCACTAACGTTTATCACTGGTGGCCCGCTGTCGGGCCGCCGGCGTATTCGTCTCGGCAATGTTACCACTAGCGAACCGGTCCTTACTCCTATGGCATCTTTTTGGAAGTGTCTTCTCATGAAAATTGACTTTCCCAGACACCATAGCTCGGGAGTGAGGGTTGGACATTGGGGATCTGGGGACAGCAATGCATGACAGAACAGTGTGGAAAGGGATTGTCAATGGAGTTCTGACCAACCTTTGGGAGGTCTAAGGGTAATGATGATGAATGATAATAATTGTTATAATGGTCGAACTAAAGTCAGCTTTGCGCTGAGTTGGAACGGCCAAAGTAAAAGTTGTACTTACTTCATAGGTATAAGTTCTGCAAATACGTCGGATCGCTATGCATTAGCTAGTGGGGAGAGAGAAAGAGGGAGAGAGAGCACAGTTTTATTCTTTTCAGAAGTGGGGTCATAAAATTGTGTAGATGACTAAAACCCTTTCTGGTTCCTTTATTAGTAGCATCATGTGAAAATGTATTTCTTTTTCATATTCTTTCTTCTTTTATTTTTATTGATTTTGTTTAATTTTCCCACACGTATATCACATATGAACTTTTTAAAATATAGTAATAGGCGAATCGCTTCTTTATCGCAACTGGTGACCTTTTTTGTGACTAAACACAAAATGTCACTTTTACTCTTTAGTCTTCTTATCAGCACTTGTAACGATTCTTCTATTTTCACTGTAATCTTTCTGGGAATTTTTTTTTTCCTTTTAGTCATTTATATTTTCCAATGTCTTCTACATATATTTTAATAGTTTTCCCAAACTGAGATTTCATTTTCATAAAACACTATCAACAATCTCCAAATATATCTCTCAGTTTACCAGATTGCTTTTATTTAAAATAAATGTATTGTCAATCTTTACAAAAAAGGCTTATGTTAATACAATGTGTCCTCAGATTTATTATATCTCATACTTCATATTTTTATTGTTAATGATCAATTAATTAAAATTCTATGGTGATTAACAACCACTTTGCTGTGGCATCGACTATGCTTCCCACAAATAGAAATATAGAATAAAAAATGGCGAGAGATATCGAAGGTTAAAAATTGTTAATATAAACTTACATTTGGTATGATAGCTAAGATTAATTCCCCGTTTATTGAAAACAACCAGTACAAGGAAAAATTACTGGATATCATATTTCCATGAAAAAATGAGATCATTTTTCATTACACACCAAAAGATTTCGAGATCTTTTTCTTTATTAAGACTCTCAAGTGCACAGGTCGGTAGATATAATTCACTCTGTTTCAAAACAGGGCGTCTAGTCAAACACGTGTATCCACTAAAATATAATGCTTAAAATAATAAGAAATAATAATCTAGGATAAAATATAGTAACATCTAGAAATTACGATATATATATATATATATATATATATATATATATATATATCTTACTTATTATAAAATGCAGATTGTGTGTGTGTGTGTGTGTGTCTGTATGTTTATATATTGGATCGGATTTCCTACATTTTTCAACTGATTTCAACAAAACTTCACAGGACTACGTAAAATTACCTTGCGATGGTTCTAACAGCGACAAAAATTGGAAAAACAATAGTTTTTGTATGAAATCAATTTGAAAACACGATTAAGAGGCATCACGAGAATGAAAGGGGGACAACTCATATCGAGTTATACGTATTATAAAACCAAGGTTGCTTGTGTGTGTTCGTTTATATATGGGATCGGATTTCCTACATTTTTCAACCGATTTCAACAAAACTTCACTTTTTTTTAGCAGGTAGTGTTTCTTATTGTCTTGCACACTTTTTTCTTTATTTTTACATTCAGAATGCTTTAAAAATTCCATTTACATAACAATTGTTTATAATAAAATTCTATTCAATCGGTAGACTCATAACGATTGAAAACAATGCTTTTGTTTGGGTTTGACCAATTCTTAAAAAAAAACAAAACAAAAAAAAAACTAATTAAGACATGCGTGTCCGTCAACCTTAAACAATAATCTTTGTTAATATTTATCTTTTAGTCTTTATGATGTTCGATACTTGATCTATCTCTTACTGTTTCAATGCCGGGCTCTCCTGCTAGTAATTTATAAAATTTTAAATTTCTTTGTTAATTTGTACTGGTTAGTTGATATTGTTATTAAGTAAAAACTATATTTACTAATCATAAATAGAAAAAGCTTACTACAATTCATCAACCAACGATATTTTAGAATTTTTATTTTATTTTTTGTGTATATAAATGTGCCGATTTTTGCAAATATGGATATCCATACAGAAAATAAGAAAAAGTACCTAAATAAAATACTCAAAAAAAATACTCAATAAAACATTAATTGATAAAAATATAGTTTAAAGGTGTGCTATATCTCTGGGTCAAAGTGCTTAATATCAGTGATAGAGCGTACGTAAATATAAAAGTGAACATTGTAATCAGCACATCAACCGAGCTTCTATCTCCACCGTGATATTGAACACTCTTCCTCATAATTATAGCAAATTTTAAACAATTAATTATATATATATATATATATATATATATATATATATATATATATATATATATATATATATATATATATATATATAAATGGGGTGCGTATGTATGTATTCTACACTAACGTTTATCAACTTAATGTATGCGATATTTTCCAATACAAGCAAGTATTAACACGAGTATTCCAGAAGAGAAAATATAAAAAATACAAATCAAGCATTTAGCACAATTCTCTTTGGCAGCA